TGAAATGCTGTCGGTGTTAAGTCCCAAAGCGAGCCTACTGTTGCATTTGTACTGCGGATACATGTAGAGTGTTACTGCTACATTAGTCAGATGATCTATTAAAGTCCATGTAACCGTGTTAATTATTACAGCTCTGGAAAGCATTGATGATGATGCGTACTTCACCAATGCAGTCCAAAATCCCACCCCACTGATCATCGCCTCACAGGCCAGCACACGGAAATCAGGCACGTCTCGAAAAAAGTTGAGACTGGGGGACATAAACACATGAGAATGATCAGCATTCCCCAGTGGCTATTCACAGTTTCCGTTCAATGCAAAATGTTTGATCTGAAGGATGTTATTGAAGATTTATGTTTTTCCCATTCAGTGTCATGGGAGCAAATTTCTGGAACTCAAACCCATGGAGGCTGCAAAACATCTCTTCCTTTTAATCTCAACTAAACTACCTTTTTTGACTGTAAAGCCAGTCTTTCATTTGATCCTAAATTTGCTCACTCTTTATTTGTTTGTGAAGTGGCCTTAAGCTGTGAGAAATCACTGAATGAATAAAGCTTCACAATTTCTCACTATTGACAAATAAATTAAATTCAATTTATGTAAAATATCAGAAACAGAAGACAAACAGCAAAATGAAATATATAAAACATTACATGTTTTGGTCTCACATTAGATTAGGGTCCAATTCTCAATAATTAACTATTAACCGTGACCACTGCTTATTAATAGTATAAGTATAAGTAGTAACTTAGTATTAAGGTATGTATAATATGGTCATGCAGAATAAGGCATTAATATGTGCTTTATAGAGTGCCGAAGTTACGACATCACTCTGTAGGCCAAAACGTGGAAGTGAGTAAGCATTTTAGCCCTCCCGGTTCTCTCGCTCTAAAGTCTATTGGATTTTTGAATGGGTTTTTGCTATATCGCCTGAAATAAGGTCTGAGGTGAAAAAATCCTCTAAATATTTTCACATTTTGATCAATGACATAGAACACACAGTTATAACCTGCTTGTGGTTTTTTAAACTTTATTGTGTCTGCTTGTGTTTTTTAAAAACGTTATTATGGGCTTCAAAATTATAGATTAACTTGTAAAGATTATCTTGATAGACAAAACGTGTAAGGGTCAGGGTCACAACTCTTTGTTGAACACAGATCTTATTTTTTGCAATTTTCCAAAAGTCTATGGGGAAAATGCATTTCTTTTCGACCGAGGGAACCCATCCGCCGCTAACTTCCGAGTTGTCCTACAAAGTGACGTCATCACCTCGGCACTCTATACACTAAGTGCTAAAAAAAGCCAATATTATGCTGATAAATAACTAGTTAATAGTGACAATAGGACCCTAAACTAAAGTGTTACCATTTAAAAAAATAAAAAATAAACTAACAATGTATGTACTATTTTTAAATACAATTTATTTCTGTAGTGGAAAACCTGAATTTGTCTTCAGAGTCACAAGATCCTTCAGAAATCATTATGGCCCCTTTTTCACTATGACCATGTTTGCATGTTTGACTATGTTTGTTACCAATATTGCAAATATAGTAACATTTTTCATATTTTCATGCCATTTGAAATTTTCTTCTTTAATGATGATTTTTATCAAGCTTGTATATTTAAGTTCAGTGATTTCACTTAAATGGCAATGATAATTACCTATTAATTGTTATTTAAGTGAAATTACTGAACTTAAATATACAAGTTTGATAAAAATCATCATTAAAGAAGAAAATTTCAAATGGCACTTAGAGGCTTTTGCATCTGAACTCTTCAATTAGAATTTATAATGCCATACTTTGTGTTATATTACCTTGGCAGTAAATGGAAAAAGAAAGTAATTAAAACTGATGCGAGGGTGTTTCTAATTCAACTGCAAATTTGACATAATTCTCTCTTCTGACTGCTGTAGCCTAATCAATCGCAATATTTTTTTCCCTCTTTTGGAAAGTCGTCGGAATGCTTTCACTTATTTTATCTGTAAACATTTGACCTCCATCTCTTCACTGAACATTCAGAGACAAGTGTAGGACAGAGGCTGAAGAAGACACCACTCTCTGCTGGTCAGAAGCATGTACTGCAGCACAAGGGTGAGTCCAGGACATATCCTGCAAACAGGTACATGTGGGATCTGCTATAGACCTAAGCGTAATACACCAGCAGAGCAGTCACACAACTATCTGAAATATTAATACTGTGTAACCTCTTTTGATGGGCTCTGACAATGCAGCATGTTTTATGTATGCAGTACGAGAGCGAAACAGCCGAGTAAATGTGCCACTACATTTACAATGACAATGCAGACAAAGCGGTTCTGTGCCATGATAGAAATGCTCAAACTATGTCAACAACAACATCGTCCACAACATGGATGTCCACTGAAGTTCATTGGGCAAATAACACAAGTGAAACATGGCTGTGGTTCTGGACAGGCTGCTGGAATCATGTTTCAGCCTGACTAAATGAGATCTGCTCCAGATAAATTTGTAATGTACCAGTGCCAGTCTGTTTAAAATGGCAACGTTGCTGTTGTAGAGATGGGGGTTGCGTAAACAATTCCTTATCCAATGACATGGCAAAAGACAAGACACTTTAGCAAGTTGTGCGTCTATAAGAGTGGCCTCTTCAGCACAGACAGCTTTCAAAAGAGCACACTTATCTTTTTTCATCTCTCCATATTTTGATATCCATTCAGACCCCTGTGTGTCAATCATCAGTTTAGATATTTCACAATGAAATGAGCAAGAGAGCAAAAGAAAGATGAGCAAAAATGAGCAAAAGGAAGATCAGTGAAGAATATAGCCAATTCAAAGGTGTTTTTTTCTGAAATATATGAAACAAAATAATCAATCTAGAGTGTAATAGTGAAGCTTTACCGATGATACATTTTATATATTTCAATTTATTCATTTTGCAGACACTTACGTATGTCCAGAGCAACACAATTGACCATGGAGTTCCATCGTATGGAAACATTTGTCAAAATAACTTATTTTGTGTTCCACAGAAGACAAAAAGTCATAGAGGTTTGGAACGACATGAAGGTGAAGGTAAAAGGTAGAAATGTAAGAGCAGTATAGACAAATGTGTAGATTTATTTTAAAATAAAGGGAATTAATCTAAATGAAATATGTTTCTTACTATTCAAATATAATATAAATGTTTGGTTGCTAATTCTCTTTTTTGTATTAAAGAGGAGCTGTTATTATGAACAATGGCAGTCATCACATCAAAAAAGGCTGCCAACCCTTGAAATATATGCTTAGGAATTAGCTAAGTGCTTAAGAAAGAGAATTTGATATATGATCATATGGTTCTCCATGAGTGAAATCATCAATGTCATACAATCTTCAATCCACTTCTCTCTTTTTCTCTCTGAATGGTGTCATGGTGTGTACCGCTCCAGTCGTGACTACAGAACATTTCGTGGTGGGAGGGAGATCTAGGATGGAAGGTTAGCCTGCTTTCTAGTGGAATGACCATTGCTTTTGTTCTGTAAACACACACTCTCTCTCTCTCTCTCTCTCTCTCTCTCTCTCTCTCTCTCTCTCTCTCTCTGGGTGCTGAACAGAATGTACAGTCCTTGTGTGCTTTGAGTGGGTTTAAAGTAAGTGTACATGTGTAAAGTCAGAGAAAACAAAGACTAAACCTCCTCAATATCTACATTTTTCTTCTAGACAGCAAATGGATTAAACGGAAACAGAATTGAGTCTCAAATACTGTATGCTCAGATTTGCAGGTTTTGAAATTTCAACATGAATACAAACATCCTTTAAGCCTAAGCTGGTTTGCATGTCTTGACTTAACTCATGTCTTAGTTTATGCTGCTCTTGCAGTCCAGCCAAGCTGGTCACCCACCTAAGCTTGACTAAACCCAGCCAAAACCTCTATAAAAACAGCTAACAGATCAGAAACCATCTTAGGCTAGAGTAAGATGCCAAAATGATTTCTTGTCAAGTTATTTCATGCACAAATGATCGAAACTATGCTATGTGCATTAAATATACTCCTCTATATCAGTGTTGTTATTGTTAACTAACAATAAAACTATTTTCGGTAAATAATTTAAATAAGGCTGAAACTAAATAAATATTAGATAAAAAAAAAACAAAAAAAACTTTTTAACAGAACAGAAACTAGAAATGCTGCCTTGGCAACTGTGTAAATTCAAGTACTAAAATCATTAAATCTGAAATAAAAATAAATGAAAACTATAGAAATATACAAAAATAAAACTAATAAAATTTTAAAGGACAAGTTCGGTATTTTACAAAATAAAGCCTTGTTTTAAGATCGTTTCTGATGAAATAGAAGGGTTAAGATTGTTTTTAGACAGATGCTGCTGTCCCGAGAATTTTCAGTTTCTGTGGTAGCACAGCGATTTTTGTGTGAACATATCAATGAACACCCCAGAGCACTCGGTGAGTTTCACGTCTTTGTAAACTAAAGTTTTATGCCTTTTATGAAGGATTGTTCCTGTGCACGTATGCTACCATTGTAGAGGTGTGGGGGTGCTACCACAGAATCTGATAATTCCCGGGACAGCAGCATCTGTCTAAAAAACAATCTTAACCATTCTATTTCATCAGAAACGATCTTAAAACAGGGCTTTAATTGTAAAATACCGAACTTGTCCTTTAAAAATAAAAGCTATTTCAAAATATCGTTTACTAAAATACTATATAAATACAAAAAATACTATGATCGCACATAAACAATACTAAAATAATACTGCTCTGTATTCTTACAATGGTCGCGCTAGCATTTATTTTCCTAGGAAATTTGAGGTTAAACCAATATACTTAACCTCTGAGCGCTAAAATGTTTCTTCGTAAACAATCTTATCATTTAGCTAAGATCAGACATGGCATGGAGAATGTGCCAAAATGTTAGAATTTAGATTTCACTGCTGTGCTACAATTGAAAACTGTTTTGGACGACCCTGAGCTAGTCCGAATCAGGTGGGGTGTTTGGGCGAAGAGGATTTAGTACAATATATATTTTTGGAAGCCTCTGTGTGACTGACAGGATTAGAAGTGCATTTACCACTTAAATGAATATATTTACACAGCAGGGGGCTGCTTGAGTCATAGTAAATGTCTTGTAGGTCTCTCAAAGTCAGCTTCGCTTTGTGAGTGGTTCCTCTCTCAGACTAGTTGATTGCAGGTTGGCTCGCTTTATTGCAGGTTAGTAGAAGCAGACGGATAGGAGCGAGAGGGAACCATGCCAGAACAAAACAACAGGGAGAATGTCAAACAGTTTTTGAGCAATTCTGTCATGACTCAAAAAATGTTTTCATTCCCACAAATCTCCATTGAAATTTGATGGTGGCTTTTAGTTGTCTTACCCTGCCATGGGTCCTCCTTGTTCAAGACTGTACACCTGTCTGGGGTTAAGCAGATACTGGAATTTCCGCAGCACCCTGATAAAGACAAACGCGCACAGAAAAGCATTAAAAGACACATAGAGGAATGACATTTTTAAACATATAATCACTCTAAACTTTCCATTATGATAAAAGGCTTAAAGGGCAATTCACCCTAAAAAATTGTCATAATTTAACAACCATTCCAATGTCTTTCCAAACTCAAATGACTTTCTTTCTTTTATCAAACACTAAAGTTGAATTTTTGAAGAATAGCCTGTCACTCTGTTCAAAATCATTGAGTAACAAGTGGTGACAAGCTCCAAAGGCACAAAAAACACTACAAAATATCATACAAGTTATTATATATAGAAAATCTTGACATCCAGACTAGCGCTCTTTGGCACATTCATGAGAGTTCATGAGAGAATGACAATGTTCGACTCTTCTTCTTTTCAAACAATCATTGATGTGAGATTCACACAAAAGGTCTGAATAACCTGTCATTTATACTTTGTTTTAATAAATAGAACATAAATTATTACATGGATCCTAATAACAATCTGATTGTAATTGGACATAAATGACCTTTATGTCAAATTCTCCTTCCACTCATCGTATATCCAGACCCTCTGGAAAAAAAATCTACACAATCCTGGGAATCACTGGAGTCAAGAAAGACAGAAGCACATAAACACAGATTGCACACTGTTGCAGCAGTGCTCCTCAATAACCTTGAAGTAATAAAATGATTATTGAGGACTCTGCAATGTCCTTCACTTCTAACTGTGTTAGCTACTCTTTCCTTTTAGTATGCAAAGACACTGAGGTAGAGAGAGAGAGAGAGAGAGAGAGAGAGAGAGAAATACGAAGAGCTGTTATTTTGAGGTGCGTCAAGCTAAGCTTTTATGTGGAGTGATAATTTGAGCACTTATCAACACTGAAGACTTCATTTGTTCCCATATGCAAAGAACAAAAGAGTGCAGACAAATGTCAAACCCAACCAATGAGCGTTCAATACGCAGCTAGGGGTGAAAATGGTGGAAAAATACACTCAGTACAGTATGATTCAATGGTGACCACTCTGTTTCTTTTGTTTGCATCAAAGAACCACCAAAATGGTCTTTCTTTTTTGGGTCCAGGGCAGTTACCACGTCTTTGTTTGAGCACATGTTTAATAATGGAGGATAATCGGCCAATTAATGGTATTTAAAACTGTTGCTATGGTGATGCCAGCACAAAATCCCAAAACTGGTCTCCCGGAGGACGTTGAGTGGGTGGTGAGAGCTGAAACAACACCCACATTCTTCCTCCTTAAACAGCATTACTGTCTCCTGCAAGCTTTGATGGTATTTAGGACACTGCCAGCAAGCAAGAAAAAGGGACTTTTGTTGAACATGCCTATGCAGATTTGACTGACTTTAAATTGTTAGGCAAGCCATTCTCCAACCTTGTACTGCTGTACAGAATATGAAATATGATGATGCAACAGTTTGAGTTTCTAAGATGTTTACCTCTCACCCTGCCGACCACCACTCTTAGGATTAACCAGCACAAGAAGGGGGTGTGTTCCAGGCAGAGGTGTGATCTTAAAGCCAGAAAGGAGGAAAAAAGGTCACAAACACACAGACGCGCACACACATGTACAGCACAGATTTTAAGTCACAGAGTGTGTCTGATGCCGGCTCACCTGCAGTGCCTGGCCGTCCCCGGTGAACTTGAAACACTGGCCAGTGTCCTCAGGGCTGGTACTGGGGGATGATTCTCCTTCACCTCTTTTGACAGCACATTGACGGTCCTACAGATACAGAGGCATTACAGTCAACGTCAACAAAGAGAGATGGAGAGAAAGACAAATGTAATTTAAGAATCCGTCTCCCTTTATTTTATTTCTCTTTAATTTTAGAAAGAACTGATGTTCTAACATATCTACAGGTCATTCTACAAGGTTGTTAGATCAGACTTGTTCACAAGTCTCTAACGTCCATCACTAGTCTCAAGATCTTTCTATGTGCAGCAGGGCTTTTTCTATATGTTTTACATATAAAATACACATTACCCCTCAAACTTTTTTTTAAAGAAATTAATACTTTATTCATCAAGGATGCATTCAATTAATCAAAAGTGGCAGTAAAGACATATAATGTTGTGAAAGGTTTCTATTTCAATTAAATGGTGTTTTTTTTTATAACTTTTATTTTAAATAAGAATCCTGAATTAAACTTAAACACCTGAATACTGGAGTAAGGATATTGAAAATTCAGCTTTGCCATCACAGTAAAAAAAAAAAGATATTTAAGATATTTTAAATTGTAATGATATTTCATAATATTACTGTTTTTATTGTATTTTTGATCAAATAAATGCACCCGCGGTGAGCATAATAGACTTCTTTCAAAAACATTAAAACAATCTTACTGACACCATGTTTGAATGATAGTGTACATAAAAAAAAAAGATTTCCTTGATTATTGTGTCATACTTGCTAATGAGAAATTATATGATATAACTAACGCAGCTAATATATAAGGGTTTATTGGAATCATTTTATCTTAAATACCATTAACTTTAAAAATAAATAGTTTTTCTTACTGTAAATTCTCAGTCAGTAGGATCAAAACATTTGCAAACTACAGCAGCCTGCAGGAACTGTTTTTATATTCTCTATACTATAGACAACTCGTTGTTTCCAGTGGGAAAGAGGCCCATGAAGATTTTGACGAGGACTCCGACCTACCCATAAAAACATTTGTCCCGTGCTTCTTGCATTTTAGCATATCATGTGCAGTGAAAAAAAAAAAAAAAAAAAAACAGCTCACCAGAACAACAGGGCAAATGTACGAGGGCAGGAGTGTGTGATCTTTTAACGGTCCACCATCACACTCAGGCTTCACATTGGACGCACACTTGTTATGGAGCTGGAAAACAATACAAAATGCAAATATAGATGAGGAGTGGTGGAGAAGGACACATCAACAGACTGGAATGGTCTAGATTTTTTTGTTCCCACTAATTTAATCAAGTAAGAAGACATTAAATGTTAGGAGCAAAGGAGACAGCATGATCTGTACTTGATATTAAATTAATTACAGTTTTAGAGTTGAAACTGACAGGAAAGTGCATGGTGCAGGACTATATAATGTGATAATAAAAATCATTATAGAGTAAAAAAATCCTTTAGATGAGTGTTACGTGCTGACACTTATCCTCATTACAAAGGCTATTTTAAAACAAATCAGCCACATCCACCAAATGCTGTGAAAACTTAGTGAAGAACACCACCAAGTGGTGTGAATAAGTATTTCATAAAAATGGCTTTTATAAAATAGACAGAACCACAAATTAATCTTTTTTTCTGTGTTTGCTCAAGGTCTCTTGCAGCAGAAAAATAAATTGCAGAATCATACATGAAAAACTATAAATAATTATATTGATAGATTCTAATTATGTGACTTTATTAAATAAATAAATAAAGTATGCTTGCAAGAAATGTCACTAAAACATCAGAGTTTCTCTTGTTGGACACAGTATGTGCATTTATACTCACAGTGATTTGACACCAAACACAGTGAAGGCCTGTTAGACCTTGATAGCACTTGATACTGCGGTGACATTTGTCACATTTTGTTGGGGAATTGCCCTCAATCCAAACATGCTGCATAGCCTAGAGATACATTGAAAAGAGACATAAAAGAGAAAGTCATTATTTGTGAAATATTGAAACAGCCCATCTAAAGAGCACTAAAAGTATTATCTTGAACTGTTCAATGCAATTTTATTGTCTTATATGCTAAAATTAAACTCCACATCACTTAACACGTCACATAACACATTCTGAAAATCATAATATAATGACAACATTTTGAGCGTATGTAATAACTGAATGGGAAGCTTAAATTTTAAAGAGGTGTCAGAGACTATTAAAACAGCGCTGCATGATCTGTCTTTTTCCCTTCTAATTCTGAGTACTAAAAAAAGTCGTTACACACAGGATGTTCTCATAACCTTCTTGACATGTCTACAGAACATTACTTTGAGATTTAACCAAGAGTTAAGGGTCTGGGAAGTTGCCTTGGGTGAAACTGAACTGGACTGCGGTCAGTGGATAAAATAATCATAACACAAATGTTCAATAATAGAGCACTGTGTTTTTGTTAAACCATGAGCTCTGTACTTAAAGGTGCAATGTGTACAAATTTTGAGTATCTATTAAAAGAAATGCAATATGCCATCCATAACTATGTTTTCAGTGGTGTATAACGAACTAACTTAATAAACTGTAATATTTTTATTACCTTAGAATGAGACATTTATATCTACATATACATAACCGCGGGCACCCCATTGGAAGCTAGCCATAGACACCGTGATTAGTGACTTTTCCCTTGTCAGTGGTGTGAAATATGTAGTTGGATTGTTTCATGTAACTTAGTTCTTCTCCCTCACTGTGTTATGGCTTTGCTATGTGGGGATAAATGTGCTGGTTACGTTCGTGAGACAGCTGATTAGTACTTTTTTTTTTTCCCAGCTGATTAGGAAAAAAAAAGTTTACTTTTTATTTTTAAATTTACTCATGAATTTATTGTTTCTGGCCCTATTCTTCAAAAGAGGAAAAACAGATGTGTAAATGATGTGTTCATTTGTGAGCGTATGTTACTGTTTATGCACTCACATTGGTGTGTCTGCGGGACTTGGCGTAGGTGCTAATGCAAGGAGCAATGTCTTTGGACACACAGCGCTCATGGACTGTGTACTTGCATACTGCCAAACAAAAGACAGGACTGTCAGGGATGGAGAGTGAGAGACTGAGGGGAAACATTTCAAACGAAAAACTGCACACCTTCAGGTTAGACACATCAAATTTCAATGAATACAGATAGACAAAACAAAAAGATATACAGACAGATAGACAGACAGACAGACAGATAGATAGATAGATAGATAGATAGATAGATAGATAGATAGATAGATAGACAGACAGACAGACAGGCAGACAGACAGAAAGACAGACAGATAGATGGGCAGATACATAGACATACAGACAGACAGACATATAGGCAGACAGATAGATAGACGGGCAGATAGACGGGCATATATATAGACATACATACAGACAGACAGACAGACAGACAGATAGATAGATAGATAGATAGATAGATAGATAGATAGATAGATAGATAGATAGATAGATAGATAGATAGATAGATAGATAGACATACAGACAGACAGATAGGCAGACAGACAGACAGACAGATAGGCAGACAGACATACAGACAGACAGATAGATAGGCAGTAGGGGTGGCACGGTTCACAAAACCCACGGTTCGGTTTGTATCACGGTTTTAGGGTCACGGTTTTCGGTTCTGTACGGTTCTTGTTATTTTTTCTTTTAATCTTTAACACTCCAGAAATGTACTTCAGCATGTGATATATAGCTTAATTATCCACACTTTAGGATACAGTATTAAAAAAATATATATTATATTCATGCAATCATGCACAAACTGAATTTGACTCTTTGACTTTAAGCACATTTTGGGACTATCTCAGAGGAAAGCTATAGGTGAGATTTAGATACAGCAAGAGAGAAGAAATTGACATGCTTTTTGTTTATTTGGCAAAAAAAAGGAGAATGTGTATCACTATCTCTACAAGAACTTGTGCATTTTTATCACATAAATCTTATTTACACAAAGAAATTAACTTTCATGTATCAACTACTAACTTTTGTAGCTCTTACCAAAATTCTATCTTTTAAAAGAAAAATAGAGGAACTCTTAAAACACTGTCTTTTAAATGTCAATATACATGAAACCTCATTGCCTATAGATAATTAAGCTATAGCAATAGCAAAGGCCATAAACATAAAGTGAAATTTAAGTTCAACCTCAACACAAAAACAGTATCAACAATGCTTCTATTCCCAAAATGTGAGGGTACTTTTTTCCACTTAAAATTAAAGTGCAGGGTTTGGAAACGTATTACTGAAGCTCTTATCTATACATAAAGTGCCACTGTAGCGTTATATTAAAATATCATAACATGAAATCCAAAATGTTCCCACACACCGGACTTATACCATAGACTTATACGACGCTGGCGCATCCTCCAACTCCCTCATCTCTCCCACTTGCCATGTCTCCGCGTGCCGTGACCTGCAGCGCTCCATACTCCACTTTTACTGGCTTGTTTATTAACTTGAACCGGCGTTGCACAGAGCGATCCGTAATGACATCAAATACCGCGAAAGTGATGAATGCATACGGAGCCGACTCGCGCTAGATTGATGTTATTCACCGATCGCTCTATGCAGCGCCGGTCCAAGTCGAACAAGTTTATGTCGCGCGAAAAGAAAACACACGTCACATACGGGCACGAGGTTACATTGCGCATGCGTCGAACCGTGAGACGCACACGCGCTCCGAACCGAGACAAGCGAACCCAACGGTTCGGGTGTTTTTTCATGTACCGTGCCACCCCTAATAGGCAGACAGACATAAAAACATCCAGACAGATATTCAGACGGACAGGCAGACAGACAGACAGACAGACAGACATATAGGCAGACAGAATGATGGACCAACATACTCACTTGCGCAGCAAAGGCCCTGTTTTCGTACTCCTAACAACATTGTGTGGCAGTAATTACAGTATGCTGGCTTGTTGAAATGCTTTAGTCTCCATACGTGCTGCCCATCTTCCTGTACATTCTGAACATATGCGAAAGAAAAACAGGAATTGAGAAACTACATTTCTATGTGTTGTTTACTTTTTATAACTCACAATTAGTTTTTTTTCCTTACAGTCTCCATTCCTAGCAGTACCAGAAGTGGTATGGTGGTCATTCCTCCTCTGATCCACTCCTCTAGTGTGACCGTTCCATCCCGGTCATAGTCAATCTCCTCCATCATCTCCTTAAGAATCTACAATTTTAGACATTAAAAAGGGACAATGAGATATGGATTTAACTATGCATGTTGGGAGGGCCTGGTGCTAAAGTTTAAATTGATTCATACCGGCCGTAGTTCTGTAGAGTCCCATTCCAGGTACTCGGCTACATGGACCATCTGATTTATTATGCGGTCAAGCTCCTAAATTGACAGATAATTGCTTTACACATCATAGACAATAAAGCATAAAGTTTCAAATTCACTTTTTACACATCCTGTTATTTACAGCTTCCTCTAAATATCAGTTCAAAGTTTCAAACAAAAAGATCAATAATATGTGAGTCACCAAGGTCTGATAGTGCAAAGATGAATGAAATAGAATCAATGAGAGGATAATAATAATATAACATACACAATCCAAAACAAATGACTATCAACCCAACACAATGACATCACAAACGGAAACTATTAACTTTATTAATCCCACAATTTTATGTGTACTGAATTATTAACTCTTTGTCAACAACATCTAACCAAGTAAAAAATCTGGACACTTCACCATTACACATTTTAACAGAGATTTAGGACTTACCGAACTGTCCAGTAGGCCATTGCCATCTGTGTCGTACAGCCTGAACATGACTTTAGGGTGAGAGATGAGAAAGATAAGAGACTGAATCTTTTCGTAGTGTGAAAAACATTTGTCAAGTACAGACCCCATCCTAGCACCTGGAGCCCAGATTATCTATGGACAGACTGAGGCAGCTAGTGAGGATTAGCTTTGGGTAGAAATAACTTCCTATGCTAAAGAAAGCTTGTCTAAACATGGCAAACAAGGACAGGAATGGGGATAAGTCTTTACGGAATGAAAGCGAGAGTGAGGAATTCTAGAAGTCTCCTCCTCTCACTCTAACTATGTTTAGGCCAGAAGTCTACATTAAAACGCAGAACTGAAAAAGGTATCTACTGTACATGTAAAAGTAAATTATAGCTACTATAGAAGGATTTTATTTAAAGAAATTAATAATTTTATTCACCAAGGACACTTTAACTTGAAAACTGACAGTAAATGCATTTATAATGTTACAAAATATTTCTATATATCAAATAAATTCTAATCTTTTGAAATTTCTATTTATTAAAGAATCCTGAATTCTTTTCCACAAAAAAAAAAAAATATATATATATATATTTATTTATTTTAATTATTTAAAAATGTCATAATATTATTGCATTTTTAATAAAATAACTGCAGTCTTGGTGAGCATAAAAAGATATATTAAAACATCTTGATATAATTGTAATAATAATTGTTTTACTTGACTGATGTATGGTAAGCATGGTCAATTATGCCGACACAAAGGCTACAGTCACTGAAATGAAATTAACTGTGCTTTAACATTTCAAAGATCCATATACCTTGCTGCATGTATTGTGATAAAATAAAATAAATTATTGACAGCTGCCAAGAGTGAGGTTACTTTTTCATGTTTGTGACTAATGTTATGATTTCTGTGGTTTAGCATGATTGTTTTAATGGAAGCAATTTGCAAAATTACTTAAAATATTCTTTAGGAAAATTAGGAATTACTTGTAAATGTAAATAAGGATATTAACAGAATCAATGAGTTGAAATAATCTAAAAATCATCTGATAAACTACCATATCAAAGAAAAACTTTTTGCTTTAACTTGAACATGAAAGCTTTAACATGAAAATGCTCCTAACATCAACTATTAATATTTTGAATATATACGAGCAAATAAGCGTTTGAAAATGCTATTGTCTTAAAATGAATCCTAAAAAATTCCCCCCAAAAAAAATAAAAAAAAATGCTTATAGGAAAACCATGTTTGAATAATTCCACTCTAACTTACACTCAAGCTTGTCCTCTGGTGTCCCCCTCTCCAGCAGAGACAAGTAGCACACAATGTCTTTAAGGAAGACCACTTGGGGCGATGGAGAGCCATTTTGTGGTGAAGGACTCCTCTGAAGAGATGTACGATTCTCAGATTGATTACGCTCTGGAAGGATGCCAATTACATGTCTATTAGTAATGACACCAGATATCACACCAAAATATGTGTGCGCGAGCATCTTGTTTTACAAGAAGTGCAAGTTTTGACGAATATCTGTCAACAAAACATGATTCTGATCAGGCTATATAGCTTCATAAGCAATTCCCTATGTGTAAAAAAGTGTGGCAAAGATCAAGGTTGTTCACTTGTACAAGACTCTGACCTGGGGAAAGGCGCGGGGAATTTGAGGTCTTGGAGAGAGCCAAAGCATTGCTGCTGCTGCTGCCCGCTGGGGGTCTGGGGTGCATGCTGGGTGACCGGTGGGGGCCTCTGGGTGTGTGGCCCCCTGTGCCTGATCGCTGTGAGGAGGAGCGGGACGAGCAGGGAGACGTGGTGGCCCCTGAGCCTGGAGTCATCCCTACAGAGTTCTCTGGTGAATGTCGGCTCATTGCACTCAAAATACTCTTTCCATTCATACCTACAAGAAAAAAAAGTGGTACATGAAAAAAAAAAAGAGAGGAAAATTAAGTTTATAATCTGAAATGACAAAGGAATCAAGTTAATACAAAATAAAAGGATAATGAAATAGGGTCTCATTCAATTAATGTGAGTACATAGCTAACGCCAGACCACATATCATTGAGAATGAAACGTGGTCTGGAAACCATATGTTCATTTTCTCGCATTTGAAGCGTGGTTTACGAATGCCCAGGGCCGTGTTATTGTGTGCTACAAATGTCTATCAAATGCGCCTGTACGTAGCTCAGTGATACCAGATGATGTATGTAGAGCGACAGAAAATTAGACGAGGAAAAAGACTGGGTCAGAGATTAAGGAGATTTAACGTAAAACTTCAAATAATAGCTGAGTCCCAAATAGACGGCTGTATCTTTTACACGCCTGGTGTGGCTGCAGGTTTGGGTAAATAAAAGCCGGTCTCAAATAGAGTTTTTTTTAGTTTTGGGTTGTTAATCTTCTAAAACCGTCAGATCGTCTGTTTTTTGGCGCTTTTTTTTAGTGAGGGAGCAAGAGCAGCGCACAACAGAGAGTGAGAGAACCCTTGCGCATGTGCAGTAAAAGTATAACCTGTGAGGAAAAAGGCATTTTAAACCTTATTTTGGGGCAAAGTCATCAAACTTTTTTAGTGAATTTGATCATATTTTATTACTGTTTCTATACAAGCAGTTTTTATGCCCCGGTGACCAGTGAAAGTGCAGTTCTGAGTCTCTGCCCATTCATTTAGATAGGAGCCTGGTCTTGTTAATCCGAAATAGCTGCCCGGAGGCGTTGCCAAGATGGTGGCCAAGTGGCATGACTTGCCTAAAAGAACTTTGGTAAAACTAAGGTTATGGTTTTAAATAAGAATGAAAAATGGCATTTTGCTGGTGAACAGATTGAAGTGGTTAACGCTTATAAATGTCTGGATATGGTTTACACCAAAATTGTCATGGTGGGAAAACTTGACAACACTTAGCAAACCAAGGAAAGAAGGCAATGCTCTCTTTTTTAAGGTTTGTTCGTAATTATAAAATTAGCTGTAACCAAGCGCTGTATTTGTTCGACCACATGGTTGCACCCATTATCTGAGTTATGGGGCTTTGAACCAGTGGAGTGTATTGAGAATGCTCAGTTATCCTTCTGTAAAGTTAAAATTAAGTTAGGTGATTTTTTTTTTAAGTTTAAGTAAAAAACTACTCTTTACTACTACCTTTAATATTTGTTGACTGAGTTGCATGAAGGGCAAAGGGACCAAATGAAATCATTGATTGTTCTGTCTTTGCCAGTCCAGAGAAATCATGGCTCTAGATGGCACTGTTTGTTGTCAAACTATTCATACAGTCAGCTGATATTTGCCTTAATCCACTCGGATCAATAGTGATAGTAGAGGTATTCAGACACAATACCCCCACTTTTGCTTTAATGAAAGCATTGTTTGAGCAGAAGTTTAATTAGTGACCTAGAAATAGTGCAAAATCATAAACATTCCTTATTTTGACATAAGGTTCTACATTTTTCAAAATGTAGAAAAATAATTAGCTTTTTTCCAGGTTTCCAATGTGGTCCCAATTATACATGTACTGAATCAGTGGGTAATAGAGTTTCAATACAGTTGTTCAATCACAGTTCCTAAAATAACCTCAGGGAAACAGAGACTTATATTTCAGAACCTATTAAAACCATAAATATGAATATGACATTCAGACGTCTACAGTGTGTTATTGATAGAATAAAGACATTATAAGAGACTATTTACCCAGCATGCCTGCTCCAGATCGAGAGGTGTCAGGGGAGCTGCCTCCGCCATTCTTGCTCTTAAAGGAAGTGAAGAGGTGTTTGCACAGTTCCTCAGGGATGTCATTCTCCAGGTAGGTCGTCATGAATAGCTGGAAACCCTCATAGTCGATGGGCTACAGGAGACAAGTGGAGAGTTGATGAGAAATGAGAAGATGGGAAACCTGTGAGATTAAATAAAGCCATGGATATGCAGCTTCCTGCTCCTTTTTTTTTTCTCCGCAGACAGAATGTTCCTGTTTCTGGGCATGAATGACACGCTTAAGCATTTCTTTATGAGGCACAGCAACAAAAATACAGAGGGAGATCACTGACACATTGAAGTACAGTAAAAACATACATTTTGCTAATGAAGACACCATGAAGACACATGGCTTACACTGAAAAGCACTGGGCATGAACTTTGACCTTCAGTAGACATTATGACCCAAGCTTGACTTTCTTGTTAGACAGGGATGGGCCGGGACATGCAGTCTGTAGACACATCGAACCACAGAACATGCAAACCCAGAAAGTAACATCTTACTTGGTTGAGAACATCTTGCTTCTGTGTGGCAGTCAGAGATATATGGAGAGGGTAGAGGGAGAGAAGGGTTATACACACTGCAGTGGTTGTTCGTGCAGAGGGAAGCGATCAAAGAATGGTGTTACCAGTCTTATCCTCTGGTGCTCTGATGTCGAATAAATTCACATATTCCATCTTTAATGCTCTATGGCATTAGCACCATACTTAATGCTGTTCTGCAAGTTTATTTGCATAATCTTGACTTACTTCATTAAGGTGGTAATTTGATCATAGTAACAAAATGGGGGGTGGGGGGTATGCAATAAAAAACTAAAAAGGGGAAAGCTTTATTACTCGTAATGAAAACTAAATCCAAACATTTTTGTCAACTGAAATAAAAGCTAGCAAAGCTTGGAACAACAACAACAACAACAAAAAAACTACAACAAAAATGCACTAACCTTCAAATGTTTGGAGTTGATAAGACGTTTTTCTTAGGGTTTTTTTTTTTTAATTTGTAACAAAAATAATAATGTTAATTTATTCTTGTGATGCAAAGCTGATTTTTCAGCATCATTACTTCAGGCTTCAGTGTCACCTGATCTTCCAGAAATCATTCTAATATGCTGGTTTTGCTGATCAAGACATATTTCTTATTATCATCCATGTTAAAAACAGTTGTGCAGCTTAATGTATTTTTCGGGATTCTGAAAGAATAACTGTAATATCAATTTTAGCAATACGGTATATTATAGAACCCTTTACAACCCACTGATGTTAACCATTAAATGGCCAACAGATACCAATAACACCAAGATGTGCTAGGAAAATAAAACCGAATTAAATAAAAGAAAATATGTATAATCTGAAACTAGAAAACTCTGAAAAACAAAAACTAACATTGAAATAAAACAAAAGTTGAATCAAACCAAAATAAATAACTAAACAAATAAATAAAAAAAAGTAAAACTAAAATCCCAGGAAGCGATTTGATATGATAGTGGAATTTATTTACATGTTTTGTAATTTAGCACATAATTCACTAAGGTAAATATGCAAATTGAGTACTGGCACAAATGCACCAAATCTGTGCTGAAGATAATTTTCATGGGACTGCGAGTTCATAGTGCGAGTTTCATAGACTATCACAACCACAACTCGGCGCTGTCTACAACAAACAAAATGGCGTCAGGCGTTGCGGTACCCAAGCATCCCAAACTGTCAAGGTCCTTCTATGTGTGGAATACATGCATGCTAGATCCACGGTTTAAGCACCTGAAGTTTCTCCCGTAAAATATTAGAGCGGATACCCTGGTGCACCTAACTCAGCTGGCAGGAGAGGGCGAGAAACAGCCTGCTACGGGTAAGTTTAAAACTAACGTTGACTCTAATGTCTAAACAGTTTACCATGTTTAAGTCGCTTTGGCTAAAAATGTAGCCCTAAGGCCATCCTTAAATATATATATACACTCACCTAAAGGATTATTAGGAACACCAGTTCAATTTCTCATTAATGTATTTATCTAATCAACCAATCACATGGAAGTTGCTTCAATTAATTTAGGGGTGTGGTCCTGGTCAAGAAAATCTCCTGAACACCAAACTGAATGTCAGAATGGGAAAGAAAGGTGATTTAAGGATTTTTTGAGCGTGGCATGGTTGTTGGTGCCAGACCGGCCAGTCTGAGTATTACACAATCTGCTCAGTTACTGGGATTTTCACGCAAAACCATTTATAGGGTTTACAAAGAATGGTGTGAAAAAAGAAACACATCCAGTATGCGGCAGTCCTATAGGCGAAAATGCCTTGTCGATGCAAGAGATCAGAGGAGAATGGGCCGACTGATTCAAGCTGATTGAAGAGCAACTTTGACTGAAATAACCACTCGTTACAACCGAGGGATGCAACAAAGCATTTGTGAAGCCACAACACGCACAACCTTGAGGCGGATGGACTACAACAGTAGAAGACCCCACCGGGTACCACTCATCTCCTCTACAAATAGGAAAAAGAGGCTACAATTTGCAGGAGCTCACCAAAATTGGACAGTTGAAGACTGGAAAAATGTTGCCTGGTCTGATTTCTGTTGAGACATTCAGATGGTAGAGTCAGAATTTGTGTTTAAACAGAATGAGAACATGGATCCATCATACCTTGTTACCACTGTGCAGGCTGGTGGTGGTGGTGTAATGGTGTGGGGGATGTTTTCTTGGCACACTTTAGATTTTTATTCGGTTGCTCCCGAATGGAGGATAGGGGAATTTGAGTTTTTAGATGAGGATTGGAAAAGTGCCTCGGCAGTACCGATCCCCTCTGAAAGTTGTCTTTGCGAGCCCTACGATCATGCGGGACCTGAACCGCTGGGAGCGCGCATCTGGCTGTCCTCGGAAAACAACGCAGCTCTCTTATGGAAATAGACTCACAGTGGCCACAAGTAGCCCCCTCGAGAGCTGCCTGGGCGTACTGCATTCCCAAACAAGACACACACATCTCGTGTATGTCCCCAGCCATAATATAGCGAGGGCATGGGAACACACACTTTTTAAATTGCTCACTTGCCATGATGAGAAAATGTATAATAACAGACACAGAGCGCTTGCTAAATAGCTGACATTTCTGTATGCCGGCATGCCTTTGTATACATCCGCTATTGCCGTCACATGCTACAGTACGTCATCATGCAACGGCAACCGGACTGGATTCGGTTTCATTCATAAATTAAGACACGCTATGCTGAAGGGTCATAGTGCCATCATCGATGCAGTTTGAGTACCCTCGAAAGGGAACTCAGAGTTGTGATGTTGACAATGATATTGTCTAAGGCTATCTGCAAAGTTCGTTGATGCGTGTGGTGTGGCACAGCTCATAACAAGAATGTTTTAATTACAAGATTGTTTTAAATGAATTCTGGTGTTTTTTTTATAAACACATGTTGCTGAAAAGAATAACTGATGAATTTATGTTATTTTAATTATGTTATTTCTGAATTTCAAAAATAAATTTCCAATGATTCACCAGAACTCCTTCCTCTGTGTCTTCTTTCGCAATGCTCAGTGCATTAATACGTCAATTTGACGAATAAATAATGTAACGACTGGTCAACTAGTCGTCGACTGTTATGCAATACTAGTCGACTAGCAAAAATAAGTAGTTGTGAAACCCATACTGCAAGAGAATTCTCCGCTAATCATACCAATAGAGGAATGAACCAACTTAAATTAATTAGATTCCTCCAGTTGCTGAAATGAAACTTTGTAAAAGGCAAAAAACCAGTAAAGCAAAAACAGATTGAACAGGAGAGAAGGAACTAGGTGGAAGAGAGGAACTTGCGTGCAAAGGGGGGCTACGCTTGAGGGGTTGCAAACGTTGGGCAGATGCACACCAAAAACAGGAAGGTTAAAGTAACTGAACACAAATGAGTCTTTGTCTCAGTAATAGCAAATGCGTTTGTTTCTTTTGGAGGTGAAAAGCAGTGTAACCAGTCAAGAGGAACTTCCTGTCTGACTTTCAAACGTGCAAAACAGAGAGGCTGACTCAACTAACAAATCACATAAGAAAGAAAGAACTGTTTATTTAACCTTTCACCAGTGCCCATTTTTACAGACACTCGTCATTTGCCAAAGGTTATAGAGTCACCCTAATTAAACTTCATTATAGAAAGCCCAGCCGTAGTCAGACAGTCAATCAGGGCTGTATCATGAGTGAAATACAGCACCCTGTCATCGTAAGCAGGCAGCACAGAGGCACTGATGGCATGTCACCTCCATTTTGTTATACTTTCAGGCTTTATGATCCATAGGTGGTCACAACTAAATTAATGAACAATGCGACGCATGCGATTTCACACCACAGCCAACCTGGCGTCAGCTTCAGACCCATTAACTGCCACCGGTGCTATTGATTCAGCCAAGACTCTGGGTCACAACCTGTGGCGCCAAACCCCGAACAGCATCTTTACGTCAGTGCGAAGGAGAGGAGAGAAATATAATGGTGACACTCCATAAAGCAAATTATAGATGCGGCTGCCCGCTGGCTTTGTTGTCACAGCAACGTGATGCATGTGCTTTATGATGTCAGCGAGGACCTTCTCTAATAGGAAGTGATATCTGGCCACTTGGTTTCGGGGAGCGGATGACTAAGCATTTCCTGTAATGACTTGAGCCCTGAGTCAGATTGTATTGGTGTTCTGTCAAGTCACAGCTAGAGGCTCCGCTGCCTCTAAACAGATCATTTAACCAGGAGAGACCCATGGCCCCTTACATACCTGTTCAGGGTTGTACTTGGAGAGGACACCATTTCCATGAAACTCTTCAAGGACATCTTTAAGCTTCTTGGAGGAATCTGTGAAAGAGAAAAATAGAAAGGATTAAAAGGAAAAAAATATTATTTGGATATAGAGCACATCTGTACATAGGCTACTGTTTAAGTGTAGATACCCCATCTTGGCATGGAAATATTTAGATGCACCACCGTTTAAAGGTTTTGGGACATTTTTTTTTTTTTTTTTAAGAAATTGATACCTTTATTCAGCAAGGATTCATTAAATTGATTAAAAGTGACAGTAAATACATTTATAATGGTTTTAAAAGATTCTCATTTCTAATGCTGTTCATTTAAACTTTCTATTTATCAATGAATTCTGACATTTTTCACTGTTTTCACCAAAATATTAAGCAGCACAAAAAAATTCAACATTGATAATAATAAGAAATGATTCTGACTGTACGTACACACCGCCGCAGACTTGAACTTCAAACGTTGAGCTTCAAACAAAGTTACCGGAAGTCATTAATTTTCAATGGAAGCTGGCTGCTCTCAGCAGCAAGTCACCGAGAGCGTCAATCAGAAAGTTTAAAGGTCCCGTTCTTCGCGATTCCATTTTTCAAACTTTAGTTAGTGTGTAATGTTGCTGTTAGCGCATAAATAATACCAGTAAAATTATAAAGCTCAAAGTCCAATGCCTAGCGAGATATTTTATTTGACAGAAGTCCCCTTTCAAAGCATACAGCGAATGGCCAGTTTGGACTACATCGCTCTACTTCCTTTTTTTAATGACGTAACTAGAACAGTATTTTAACTAATCTCCGCCCAGAGGAATACACAATAAAGGGGGCGTGGTCTTGTAGCACTTCAGATGCGCATGCATCTCCAATTTATGGTTAGAGGCGTGACAACGTGCGATAAGTTACTGTCGAATCACAACACAGTAGCCGCTGGCACAATCAGAACTCGTTATGTTTTTCCGAAGGAGGGACTTAATAGAGCAAGGAAGTCATCGGGTCGTTTTTTTGGACAGTAAAAACAGTCATATACAGATATGTAAATTGTTTGAAAATACTGTGTTTTTTTACACCCGAAATATGAACACGTATCCTCTTACTAACATATCTGTTGTATTACACACTGTAAACACAATCAAAGCTTCAAAATAGCATGAAGAACGGGACCTTTAAAGGGACACTATGCAGGAATTCCTTTTTTGTCAAACAGCGACCCCTAGAGTCACTGTGGATTACTTATATTTAATGTTCCTGTCGTAAATACCATTCACACAGACGTGACATGTTACATAGTATACAATGCGTTCGAAACACAAAATACTTCTCTACTATATAGCATGGGAAAAAGAGTAGGCGTGTCAAAAGTATGTACGAATCATAAAAGAGTAGGGGAGAATTATCTGGGTGACATACAAATTCTTGTGAGATTTGGACGTAGCGCGTTCTAATATGGCTACTTTCCTACTATTTAGTAGGAGAAATCAGTACATGAAAGAAGCAGTACGTTCGAAACATCAGTATTCATAAAAGAGTATCCGAGAAGTTCCCGGATGGCTTACTTCAGCACAGATTTTAGATTTTTGAGTGCTCATCTGATGGATACTCTTCTATCCCAAGGGGTTTTCAAATGTGAGTAAATATGTGAGTGAGTAAATATTGCCAGTGGGTGGAGTCACCATTTGATGTGGCTTGCAGCGACAGTTCACCAAAAAAAAAAAAAAAGATTTTGTTTCTTAAACATATGAAATCTTGAAATACAGACTACTAATATATATATATATATATATATATATATATATATATATATATATATACATTATTTTATTTTTATTTTTTTTTGGGAGGTTGACAGCAGTCACTAAACTGTTATTGTACAGAAAAGAGTTGAAAGATTTCTACTTCTATGTTCCATGGAATCAATAACATACCGGTTTGGAGCAACATGATGGTGAGTACATAATGACATTACTATTTTGGGTGAACTATCTGTGTAAATGGATACAAATAAATTCCAATATTCAAATCATCAGTTGATGAGTCGGTATATAGCGACTCAGTGGTTAAGGGGAAAACAGGCAGCAGGGAATGTGACAGACCCATATGACTGAAAACAAAACTGCACCCACTACTTAATCTGAGCAAAATGAGTCTTCCCTCAAGATGTGCAACTCAGAATAAAGCAGTCTGGTAAAATCTGTGGTCGGAAAGATTGACATCACACTTTCATTATCAATCAGAGGTTTACGAGCTGTTATAGTTTCACATCATAATTCAGAACATGAATTGTGATGTCGGAGGTCTAACACACAGGGCCAATAAATCTCTAGTCTTTGGACTGTGACAAACTGACTCTGACACTGTTAACATGCAAGACTCATCACTGACTTAAAGACTGAGTGACACCAAACTCCAAACAGCTTGGGGCTTCTGTGGGCAGTGAACACATCCTCTTACTAACAGATCTGTATGTCTGGGTGTTTTAATGGAGGGGGATATTATTGCTGTGACTGGAGTTTCAATTAGCAGCTCATTTTGCATAGATGACAAATGTATTCCACTGATTATTAACACCACTGAATCAAAACAATAAAGTCCTTAGCACCTACAAGCTGAGCCTCAGTGGCAAGAACATACACACTGTCTCCTCTTGAGGACAGCCTGAGTTTATGACAGAACCAGTAAACAAAGTTTCATAAATAATTCACTTATAATGCCTAATAAATTATGTTTATAAGTGTAGCACTGCTTTTTGTGCAGCATTTACCAGGGAAATGGCTCTATTCCTGCGGTTCAATTAGCACCAACATGACAGAGAATTAATTTATGGTTACACTTTATTTGTAGGTGTTATTGTTACAGTATATATGAAGAGCTCAGATGCAAAAGCCTCTAAATGCCATTTGAAAATTTCTTCTTTAATGATGATTTTGATCAAGCTTGTATATTTAAGTTCAGTAATTTCACTTAAATGGCAATTATAATTATCCATTAATTGTTATTTAAGTGAAATTACTGAACTTAAATATACAAGTTTGATAAAAATCATCATTAAAGAAGAAAATTTCAAATGGCATTTAGAGGCTTTTGCATCTGAACTCTTCATATATATATATATATATATATATATATATATATATATATATATATTTAAGTAAAAATCTCAGAAGGATTATTCACGAAGCAGATACAATACATATTATCGTTTTTCATCCCTCATCTTAAAAGCGGTTTAAAGGCTAAAATGTGAGGTAATTTTTTAACTTTTTATTCGAAAATTCAATTAAACATTTTGTTTACCCTGACCCTAACCCAAGCAACATTTTTTGTCTAGCTATTTAAAATCTGGCTGTCGTTCTTAAAGGGATAGTTCAACCAAAAATAAAAATTCTGTCAGTATTTACTCACCCTCATGTTGTTCCAAGGCCCATCTTCGGAACATGAATTAAGATATTTTTGATGAAATCTGAGAGCTGGATCACTCCTCCATACTAGTCCATAGGCTTCTTGAGGGATTGAAACTTGCCGACCTCGAAAAGTTATTAAACACATTGTTAAAATAGTCCAAGTGACTTCAGTGGCTCAATCTTAAGTTTATCAAACGACGAGAACACTTTTTGTACGCAAAAACAAACATAAATAATGACTTTATTTCAACTGTTCATTTCCTTCTCTCTGGGCCTCGAGTTTAACAGCGTATGATCTGTTGTTGTACATCACACACACCACATACATGACCAGCGTCAGCCAATAGTGGGCCTACGTGTGACGTTTAACTGACTCGAGGCCCAAAGAGATGAATAGCTGAAATAAAGTCATGATTTATGTTTGTTTTTGCGCACCAAAAAGTGTTCTCGTCCCTTGATAAAGTTAAGATTGAGCCACTGTAGTCACTTAGACTATTTTAATGATGTCTTTAATAACTTTTCGAGGCCGGCAAGTTTCAATCCCTTAAGAAGCCTATGGAGGAGTGATCCAGCTCTCAGATTTCATCAAAAATATCTTAAGTCGTGTTCCGAAGATGAACGAATGTCTTACGGGGTTGGAACAATATGAGGGTGAGTAAATACTGACAGAATTTTTATTTTTGGGTGAACTATCCCTTTAATGTTATTATTTTAATGTTTATGCAAACACAAATTACATAGTGCTGTTCATTTTATTTGTTTGTTGGTTTTTGACATAGAACTTATTTCAGTGTTTGTATCAGTACGTTTTGAAAATTTCTATCATATTTTAACAATACAGTTTTAATACCGATAACAGTGATCATTTCAGTCACTACAATCGTAATATGAAATTTTCATACCATTACATCTTTACTGGTAATGCTCAAATCTGTGCTACAGCCAGACAGGCCAGGTAATTCATTTGTGAGATGTAAAGTTTAAGATTAATGCCTCATCTCACACCTACTGAATTATTAATGGAAATGTTTCCAGTATCCCAAAATATACTCCACATATTGCATGTGCTAATTTTAAAGGCATTATACCGTAAATATGACTCCAGGCTGAGAGCACTTCTGACTGATTATCTGTCGTCACTGTTCGTCACTGGGTTTTTAAACAAATCTGTTACCAGGGGTTCACCCCAAACAAAAGAAATGTGAATTTCCTGACTTTATGAGTATTTTAGATATATTACCAGCCTCCTACAAGTCAATTAACCTCACAAAGCATAGATAGATGCTCCTTTTGGAAATTTCGTGGTAATTCTAAGGCACATGGCACATGGTTTCTTTGAAATTCATATTACCCAGGCCATGCAGACAACAGTGGGTTTAGAGGTTTAGTACAGTTTGCTGTTTTATGAATATCATTTTATTAACCTTGTCTAAATAATGTTTTTTTATAATTGAGAAAATGTAAATTATATTAAAACTGAATAAAAAAGGAATTAGAATTATTTACTAGAAAACAAAACAAACATATCAACTGAGGTAATAGTCGACTGTGGTGTACATAATTCTTTTTAAAAATTTAACTGACAAAGGGCCCAGTTATCAAGAAACAAGCTTGTGATATTCCAACCTTCTTGGGAGCTCTGGACCTGCCATAAACTCTTAAAATATCCTGTATTATAACTTAATAACATGCCCATAGACCACACAGACACAGAATAATTCATTATTCTTCCTTTGAATTGTTTTGTTTTTATGTATTATATTTGTAAAGTATCTATTAGTTTTTATATATTTTTTTTATTTTAATAAAGATAAAAACATATTAATAAATAATAAAATAATTAATGAGCTTGAATGATGTCCATAAAAACACCTAGGGCTCTATCTTGCACCCGGCGCAAATAACTTTATACACAAACGCATGTGTCATTCCTATTTTGCACGCGCGCAAAGCGGGATTTTTCCCTCAAAAGACGCACGTTGGTAAACTAGGAAATAAATATCCCTGGGCGAATTGGCGCAAAAAGGAGGTGTGTTTCGGCGCAAACATTCCCTGGTGCTATTTTACAGTTCCAGAAAACAATTGCGCCACTTATCAGAAAAAACCTGGTCTAAAGTCAGTGGCGCGTTGTTCATAATGCTATTTTAAGTGTGTATACTTGGCCATAATGGCCACTTGGCCACAACTGCTGCATCTGGTTTTAAAGTTGGAACTGCTTCATGTTTTAGTAACAGTTTCTTGTTGAATCCTGCATTGAATTCATGGAGATTCTGGAAGCTGTCTTCCGTAAAATGCGCAGCACAGAGAGCTATATCATTTTCAGGAACATAATCAAACATCAATAGTATCCATTCATTATTTACGAACTACAACATCCGTGGGAAGCCTGAACAAAGAAGACCTGACAGCTGGGTGAACTTTACACGCTTTCAATTAGCCGTAGAAATATGGCTATGCCCTTTTTTGCATATTCCGGAGGGAGGGTTGATGCAAATGTATGGGTTAGTTATGTATAAAACTTGTTGTAGGTCCCAATCGAGTCGTTTTTGTAGGAATTAAACTTCCTGATTTTTAAAAGACGGTATCTCCGCTTACATTGAACTTTCAGCACTGCAACTTTGCAGATACTATTTGTGCACCAACAGCAACATTACACACTTTATAATGAAAAAAAAAAAATGAAATCGCAATCAAACACCCCTTTAATCTTGAATGGTGAACTCCCAATCCCAATTAGCCAACTTGCCAGCTAAATTTATATATACTTGCATAATAAAATATGTTTGCATTCTTGTATTCGCACTCTAATGTTGTTCTTGCCATTTGAGATCTAGCCACCTGCTGCCAATTACGCAATATACACAATTAACTTTGTAAAGAAAACATTCAAAATATTATCAACGCTAATGCAAGTAAAGCTTCCCCTGAGGTTGAAAGGAGTTGTTAGAGGGAATGACAAACAGGCAGGTCCTTATTGACCAGATGAAGCCTAGTCCTCCTCATTACACATGGATATGTGCTGGCACAGCCAGTCCTATAATAAAAGATGAGTCAGACTTACCGAAAGCCCTTACAATAATAGAAACACGATGAATTAATATCTGATCCTGCTTTAGCATCCAATTTCACTTTTTTCCTCAATCAAATCAATATAACCACTCAATACTCCCTCAAAACTGTCATATCACAGATCCCTTGCAAAATTTAAAAAAAAAAAAAAACTGAAATGATAAGCAAGACCATCACTTTAACATGTCATAGGCTTGTATAGCTTATAAAGTGGTCTGCATCAATAACTGCATTAAACGTTGCTAATCAATACAGACACAGAGAGCACTGGCAGCGAATTGATGTGTTACGTCAATACAGCCTACATTCCCAGCATTGCTTCCTAAAAGTCTAGTGGGTCGGCCTCAGAATGTGTAAGCATCTTCCAAAATAACAAATTGAGCAAAGCATCAGCCGAAACAATGGAGCTAAGTCGTACAGTTATGGAAAAGCATGGCCAAGAACCAACTAAATGGACAGATAAAACTTCCCATCCATTCTTATCCACCTAAAGCAGCCCCAAAATCAATTCCAATCAACCTGCCAGAGTTTAGAGGAGAGGCTTCTTGTGCTCAGATACTCACACTCACTGTACTGCTGCAGCTGGGAGAATTCGGCTGGGCTCAGACACACCCAGTCTCCCATCTCGCTGATCAGAGTGCTTGCGGCAGGCTGAAGGAACCAAGCTGATTGTCCTCAGGTGAGGTATGAGAAAAAGATGGTATGATCTGGCATGTTCATATTGTTTTCCTTTACGAGCAGATGGTGAATTTGCGTCCCTGATGAGAATTGGCGAAACAAGGGAGGGCGCAAGGACGAGGGCAGTGTGAAGGTGAGGCGCGTGGCGTGCCACCAGTCGTAGGAGTAGCTCTGCTGTGGTGAGATGACGGGTGCACAGGGATGAGCAACGGATGACCTGTCAACCGGAGTTATCTATAGAGTAAGACAGAGAGAAAAAACAGATTTAATAACATCTCTAAGCTGACTTAAGGTTATTGACATGTCAAGCATTATTTATAATATATTTACTACTGATTCTAGCAAACAGACCAATGACAACAGAGCCCGTGTGACTATAATATCTCAATTGTTTCATCCTCGAGAGAACATGAATACTTTTGCTGAAGTCCTGCTTCTCTAGAAGTCTCACATGAGTCTCCTCAAGAGTGTTCTTCATCCACTTCATCCATCATTTTTATTCTGGCCAATAATGCAATATATTTTATATCATATCACATGTAAATATATTAATATATAGCCTAATTGTTTTTCACAACAATGACATAGAACCATTTTTAAACCTTTCAGTTCTTTCAATATTTTATTTTAACATAGAATTTATTACACAAACTTTTAGGCTACAAAGGTCATGATTTTTTTCAGATGCTGCATTTGAATTGCTATTTAGATATAGCCTGGCTAACGCCAGACCACGTATCATTGAGAATGAAATGTGGTCTGGAAACCACATGTTCATTTTCTCGTATTTGAGGTGTGGTTTACGAATGCCCAGAGTCGATTTATTGGGTGCTATGAATCTCTATCAAATGCGCCTGTATGTCTATCAAATGCGCCTGTGCTCCCTCCCCGTTCTGTGATTGGTTCCCTATTTCAGGGGAACATTTGTTTCATGGTATCCAGACTGCCTAGCAGCGCGAATAAAATTGTGCTGCGGCAAGGCAGAATGGTGAAACCCAGGCGAATTTAGATATATTTATAGACCAAAACAGTTTGGTTACCAACATTCTTCAAAATATATTCTTTTTTTATGTTCCACAAAAAAAAAAGAAAGAAAGTCATACAGGTTTTAATCGACACAAGGGTGTATAAATGTAAACTAAAAGCATATAAAATAAATGCACACCTCAGATCACTTCCTCCTCACTCTTAACCATCTACTACTTGCTTTTATGTTTCGAAGCTATATTAGTTTATATATATATATATATATATATATATATAATTCTTAACATACAATTGGTTTAATTAAATGTTTTAATTTATAATTATTTTTTGTATATATATGTAACTAAATAAAAACTAATTAAATAAAATAATTAAAGTTGGTAAACTAATTAATTAATAAGAAACAAAAGTAATCAAGAATTGTTTTGGAATCAATTCTTGATCGTGATTTGTGAGGTGCCTAAAGATTCCCACCCTTAATAAATATGAGACAAAAACTCATAGAGGGTCCCTGATTTTTAGAGGTATTCTAACTGCATTCTATAGGCACCATCACGCAGTGAGTTGTATCATGTTCGTCACCAATCATCTAGGCCTATATGAATGATGACCTAGTTCAGGGGTGATGCTGGTGTGTTAAATGCATTCAATAATTTAAACGTATATATTTTTTTAAAATTAACGTTAAATCAGCAGCCTTTATATATGAAGAGTTCAGATGCAAAAGCCTCTAAGTGCCATTTGAAATTTTCTTCTAGAATGATCATTTTTATCAAGCTTGTATATTTAAGTTCAGTGATTTCACTTAAATGGCAATGATAATTACCTATTAATTGTTATTTAAGCGAAATTACTGAACTTAAATATACAAGTTTGATAAAAATCATCATTAAAGAAGAAAATTTCAAATGGCATTTAGAGGCTTTTGCATCTGAACTCTTCATATATATATATATATATATATATATATATATATTTCTGAAAAACATATCATATTAGATAGATTTCAAACTTTTAGCTAAATTTGAGCTAGTCAATCTTGAAGACCCCTGCTTTCAGTTTCAGACGAATTTGAAAGATAGCATCTGCAATAATTCTCTCACTTGTTTCCATTCAAGAAATTTTACAACAAACATATAAAACAAGATTTAGGCTTGAAACACAATTGAGAACAACAGTAAGCCTCGTGGGATGTCAAAAAACAACCTCTGACCAATAAAATTTACTTAAAAATAAGGATGTATCTCCTTTTGTTTTTGACAAGGTGTAGAGCTCATGCAGTATGCTGTCTTTGCCTTCAGTTGGACATTGTCTTCGCTCCAGTACACCCAGTTAAAACAACATAGCATTGCTCCTCCATATAGCTCTGAGTTCAAACGGCCACTCAGCAAATGACTCACATGGGCTTGGCCTGCCTCTGTGCTCAGTGACACACCAATCAATGTCCCTCACTCTCTCTCTCTGCTGAATAATCTCTTTCTGTCTCTATTTCTCTCTAGCTTTGTCTCCCTCCCTGTTCTGACACTCCCGAAGAGTTTAAGCAGAACGAAAAATCAGCAGCACTTTGCCAGCACATTCACAAGGAGGGAAGATATAGACAATAAAATCTGTGAGAGGAGCCGGCGCATGAGAAACTGCCATGATGAGAAGAGACAAGAGTAAAAAGACAAAAATCAATGGAGTTGATAGGGCTGCCATGAGTTACAGCATGCCAGGGAGTAAGTTCATTCCCACTGGTTTAAAAAGCACAGAGCGATGTGTGATGTTTGTTGTACATAGAAAAGAGTTTAAGCACGAGGGAGGACGAAGACAAGAAGTATAAAATAGCCTACACAAAGTGTAAAAAAAAAATATTACCTTAAAGCTAAGGTTTTATATATATATATATATATGTATATATATATATACAGTATATATATATATATATATATATATATATATGAAGAGTTCAGATGCAAAAGCCTCTAAATGCCATTTGAAATTTTCTTCTAAAATAATCATTTTTATCAAGCTTGTATATTTAAGTTCAGTAATTTCACTTAAATAACAATTAATAGGTAATCTTCATTGCCATTTAAGTGAAATTACTGAACTTAAATATACAAGATTGATAAAAATGGTCATTTTAGAAGAAAATTTCAAATGGCACTTAGAGGCTTTTGCATCTGAACTCTTCATATATATATAATATATATCTCAATGGTCTAACCATAAAATGAAGTAATATTAGGTGTTTCATGATGTCATGCACCCTGAAGAATATTTACCACAATACCGTTATAGAGTTTGCAATAGAGAAGCACCGGTTGACCGACCATAAATGGGAACCGGCCACTTTCGTCTGGTTCTGGAGCAAAAATCGCCTGGTTCTGATTTATGGTCAGTCAACCGGTTTCATTTTTGGCCGATCTCTATTTTGCCCTACAAAGCAAAAAGGCAGTAACTGCAGTTTTGATAAAGCATTAATTATTACAATTTTCATGACATTCAAGGCATCCTTTGTTATATAAACATCTTATCTTAAATGCGTGTCGTTTTAGATAAAAATGGTAGTCGTTTGTACAGTAACTGCAAAAAGCCCTAGCAAAAGTCATTTTTCTCAGTTCTGCACTCTGCGTAGTTACTGCCTTTTTGCTTTGTAGGGCAGTATTGCAGACTTGCACACAAACTGCATTGCAACCATTTCTCAAAATGTCATTTGTATGGAAATATTAACATGACGCTAACACAGGCCAAAGACGCAAAGAAGTGAACAACACAGATCTAATACTGTACCAGGAACAGCAAACTAACTGGGGAAGACTGACTCTCTTCAAAAAAGTTCAATGTCATTATCTTTTTCTCTTACGCTGCTTTGTGTACAGTGGTACTGAAAAAACCTCTGCTGTTCCATAAGTGCCACCTACTGTCATATAGTGAATTTTCATTTTCATTTAGTCCATCTGCTGTTTTTGTTTTGTGCAAGTGTAGCTTAATTTCACAAAACTAAAGTCAGACCATTTTGTTTTTGCTTTAAATCTAGAAATTAAACAATTTAATTATAATCAAATACAACTGGTCATGGTACCTGTGTGTATTTTTGTTTGGATTGTGATAAAAATGCAGTGGTTCCCTCTCATTTCAAATGGCTACAGATATTTTATGTTTAATTGTTGTCATGTGGCATTTAAACGATGCCCAATTGGCACTAAGGGGCCTAAAGTGTGCCAAAAAATCATCCCCACACCATTACACCACCACCACCACCAGCAGCCTGCACAGTGGTAACAAGGCATGATGGATCCATGTTCTCATTCTGTTTACGCCAAATTCTGACTCTATGACTTGATGCAGCGCTGACTCCACGTGACTGTGACATATGCCATCAAAGTACCGCAAGAGCGTTTCGAGAGTAGCCGGAGGACTCAGCCAGCGCAGTTTCTCAAGAGCGGCTGCACAAGCTCTGACGATGTCACAGCTGTTCCACGATTCGCTGGATTTAACGCATGACAACGATCACGTGCGTTTCGTGTTTATTATTTAGTTCCACTAAAGCTCACAAATCAGTTTTTTATAACATTAAACAGTCTTTTCATGTAGTCGCGATGTTATATTGTGTCATGTTTATCATGTTTATCAAAAATAAAACTGATTAAAACACGTTGACTCCACGTCATTGAAATATAGGCTTATTTTGAACTTTATTCTACTTCAAACAGATGCTGTATGAAGCAGTAACCTTTTGAATAAAAATGTGTCTGAAATATCTGTTTATTTGCCAAATGTTGCTTTTACTTCACTTAAGCAATGGTAAAGCATGCAAACACCACGTGAGCGGTCACTACGGGAACCAGAAAAGTGTCCGACTTCACGTCTCCGTTTGCAGCTATTTACCATTAAAATTAATAAAAAACAAAAATTTCTTCATTGCAAATGACTGTAATAGGAATTTGAGATGAATTCAGGTAAATTCAGTTCTGTGGAAAACATTGTAAAAGCACAAAGGAAGCAAAAACTGATAAACTATAAGTGGATGATTGAGAACGAAAATATGGCAATCAGTTGTAGATAAATAAAGATAAAGATTTTGGCGTAGGTGCTGGTATAACTGTATGGAAACACACAGTAAAGCAGAGATTATCACTGTGTGGAATCTTGCCAGTTACTCTAAAGTCTCAAAATGAACCATCCAACCCAACTAAACTGTCACATTGACATCTATTATTGAACATTCTTGAGGACAGTGACGATTGTAACGTGTATGTTCA